GGAACTCTCAAGCAGACACGCGCATGAACCCACACAAAAGCCCACACAAGCGCGCGCTATACACACCCACCTACACACTCACACACATACACAAACTCACACACACACCTACATACACACACACACACACACACACACACACACACACACACACACACACACACACACACACACACACACACACCACACACACACACTGAATGACATGCCACACCCATCCACCTAAACACGAATATAATTCTTCGCGACCACCTCCCACACCCTCTCCCCCATTCAACAACCCTAGCTTCTGCTTGCAGCTACTTCTTGCTGCTCCTACTGCTGATTGCTTCTGCTTGCTGCTTCAACTGCTGATAGCTGTGCTGCTTATTGCTCCTACTGCTGATAACTGCTTCTGCTTCGTTCCACTTCTTGGTTTTCTTACTGCTGATAGCTGCTGCTATTTATTGCTGCTCCTACTGCTGAGAGTTGCAGTTGCTATTTATTCTGCTCCCACTGATGAGAGTTGCAGCTGCTTAGTGATGCTGCTACTGCTGAAAGCTGCAGCTGCTTACTGCTGCTCGTACTGCTGCTCCTACTGCTGAGAGCTGCAGCTACTTACTGTTGCCCCTACTGCTGAGAGCTGCAGCTACTTACTGCTGCTCCTAATGCTGAGAGCTGCAGCTGCTTACTGCTGCTCCTACTGATGAGAACTGCAGCTGCTTACTGCTGCTCCTACTGCTGATAGCTGTTGCAGCTGCTTACTGCTGCTCCTACTGCTGAGAGCTGCAGCTACTTACTGCTGTTCCTACTGATGAGAGCTGCAGATGCTTACTGCTGCTCCTACTGCTGATAGCTGTTGCAGCTGCTTACTGCTGCTCCTACTGCTGAGAGTTGCAGCTGCTTACTGTTGCTCTCACTGCTGCTAGCTGCTGCAGGTGCTGTTGCTGCTGCTTGCTGTTGCTGCAGGTGCTGTTGCTGCTGTTGCAAGTGTTGTTGTTACTGCTGTTGCTGCTCCTTCACCTCCAACTCATACTCTTTCTCCCGCTCCATTCAACTTGGGCCCTCCACCCGACTCCTCTACTACCCCACTATTCTTCACCTCTCCTCCCTCTTCCCTACCAAGCCCAACCTCCTCCTTAAGTCTCCTCTAACCTAGCCAGTCCTTCCACCCACTCTACCACCCTCCAGGCCCTCCTACTCTTCCACTAATTCACCACAAGTCACCCTCGTTGTGTTTCTTCACTTGAGAAGATACATTTATGTACCAGTTCAGGACATGTGATAAATAAAGAAGAAGGCAGCACAATACCGTGACAGAAACAATACACAAATAATCCGCACATAGGAAAGAGAAGCTTTGGACAACGTTCACATTAACAAAGTCACAGTGTGACTTTGACAGTGTGACCATTAACAAAGTCGCAGTGTGACTCTGTTAATGGTCCAAGTCGGACCGAAACGTCATCGTAAGCTTCTCTCTCCTATGTGCAGGTTATTTGTGTATATATAATAAATGTCCGGAACAGTACATTAAGTGCCTTTTTTTTACACATGTTCGTATCAGCATACCATTTACTACCCTTCAGGTGAACTTCACGTGGAGGTTCAACGGGTCGTCTGAGGGGGAGGCACTGCCACTGCAGTCAGTGATGAACCAGGGCACCTCCTCCATGCTCAACTACACCGCCTCCATGGAGCAGGACTACGGCACCCTCCTCTGTTGGGCCTCCAACAGAATAGGACTGCAGAAGGATCCTTGCGTGATACATCTCATTCCTGCAGGTCAGACACACGGTACTCAACCTTCCGCTTTTGTGTTGAGAAGGGAAAGGGGAAGGGAGAAGAGGAGCAAGGATTGAGACTGGGAGAATGGGAGAGAATGTGAAGAACTTAGGATGAGAGTTCTGGACAGGGAAAGGAGAGCTTAGGAGACGGAACTTAGGAGAGGAAGGTTTTAAGATAGAGATGGTTAAGGTAAGAAACAGTGAGGCAGGACGAGAGAAGAGAGTAAATCAAAGGGAGACGGGAGGGAGCAGGAGAAAATGAGGCGGCTGAGATAATGGGTGAGGAAACGGGAAAGAGGCGAGAACAGCAGTATGGAAAAGAAATATTGTAGAGGTGGTGAGGAAAAGAAGACAGGGGAATGGAGATAAGTAATGTGGTGGTGTGAAGAATGAGAGGGATACAGATATTTGAATATTTGGGAAATAGGGGTGTGTGAGAGGGAGGGAGAGAAGGAGAGGGAGAGAGGAAGAGAGGGAGAGAGGAAGGGACAAGGAGAGAATTATTTATAAAATTAAAAATGACGAAGTAAAGGAGAAAGACGGGAAAAAGGAAATTGAGACAAAGATAGTGATGAAATGCTTTGAGCGAGGAACAAAGGCGGCAAACACAGCCGGACAAGAGATGAAAGATGAGGGGGAGGGGTAGGAGAGAGAGAGAGGAAGATTAATAGACAAAACACAAATGGAGCAACAAATATAACCCCGAAAAAAGCTGCCGTGGAGCTGGGAAAGCACCGAATATGCATACACGCATAAACAAGACATTATATGAAGCATACATGCACGTTTGCACACAAAAGATGGGGTGGTAATCTCATTCTCATTCACACACACACACACACACACACACTAATGGACTGACAAAAGTCAACCATACACACAGTTTCAAGAATAGGTATAATCAGGGCCTAGAGGCCAGTAGAAAGGTCAATACAGAAACACACACTGGTGGAGTGCTCACCCGGCTTTGATGGCGGCCTACTACAGCACTTCACAATAGAGGTCTAGGATCATGACACTCTTCTAACTCGTCCAGGTAAGCACAATGCCATCATCATTTGGGTGCATGAGCACACATGCGCGCGCGCACACAAAAGACAATTGCTTATCGACAAGTGGCTATATATATATATATATATATATATATATATATATATTATATATATATATATATATATATATATATATATATATATATATATATATATATATATATGTCGTGCCTAATAGGTAAAACTGGTCATTTAGCAAGAACTCATTTAAAATTAAGTCCTTTCTGAAAAATTTTCTCTTGTACGTTTAAAGATATATTTTTTTCATTAATGTTAATGTAAAAATTTTTAATTTTGCACCAAAAGAATCTTAGAAAACTTACCTAACCTTATTACAACAAGCGCAATTTATTTTAGCCTAACCAAACTAAATATGTTTTAGATACGTTTACAGTAATTTAATATTAAACAAAAACAATGAAATATATTTTTTTCGTTAGGTTCAGAATTATTTCTGCGAAATTATTGCATACACAAATTTTCGCTTGTCTTATATGGCAAGATGAGTGTTGCTATTTAAGCCAAGATCGCAAGTTTTACATATTCGGCAGAGAGAGGAGAGAGAGAGAGAGAGAGAGAGAGAGAGAGAGAGAGAGAGAGAGAGAGAGAGAGAGAGAGAGAGAGAGAGAGAGAGAGAGAGAGAGAGAGAGGAGAGAGAGAGAGAGGGGGAGAGAGAGAGAGAGAGAGAGAACTGCAGAGGATATGTTCACGACATACAAAATACTCAACGGACTGAAGCGAATAGGAGTAAACTGTCCGAGATAAGATGACAGGGAATGACGCGACATAGATGGCAGCTAAAGACTTACTAAATCATGAATTGTATTTAATCACTTTCATTGGTTTAAATAAATTTCAGTGATTTAATAGATACTACCGGGACCTGGAGGCCAGCAGTCAGTAAAGATTAGTCAGGAGCTATGACTCGACACCTTGAAGCAAAACTAGGTTGACCACATATCACTCTAAGTAGAGCGCTGCTGAGCTCTATTTAGAGCTAAATGTTCTCTGTAACTAAACGATTTCTCCCTTCACTGTCAGAAATGTTTGTGATCACATTATACCATTCAACACTACCAGACAAGTTCATCTAGAAGTAGGTCAATATTGTTACAGTCAAAGGTTCTTGAAACACTGAGTTGCCAGTGTTGCAACGCTAGTCAGAGGATGTAAGGGTCACACAGCTTCTAGGTAATGGGTGGCAATTCTTTGGATCAACAGAACTTCCTTCATTCGCCTCAAGGCTGATGAAGGGATTACTCAGAAACACGGCTCTATATCATTACCGCTTCCCTTCACTGCATTGTACAGCTGGCATTCACATCCTTATTATTTACAAACTCTGTCCAAAAGTCGATCAGAAACTTGTGTGGCTGTCCAAGAGAAAAATGACACTTGTTTTGGTGCATAACAATAGTTTTACAACACGTTTTTCCTGTGAAGTTGCGGACAATTTTCTGTGACAAAAGAAGTGAAAGAGAAATAAAGATGGAGTGGGGAAAGGGAAAATTGGGATTGTGTGTGTGGAAATGTTAGGGAATGAAGTTTTTTTTTTTTACCCCTGCTGCTAATTTCTTCGTCAGTTCTCTTCATCAATGTTATTTTTGTATTTCAGGGTAAATCCTGTGTTAGTCACTTTCGCGCTGATGCCGTTATTTTGCACTCTTTACACTTAAGTCATGACCATTCTTTTTCAACACTCACTGAACCTCGCATTTTATAATCTAACTGCCTTGTTTTATCTTATGTATTCTTTACCTCTTCTACTGACCTCCAACAGATTCATTAAGGCCGAGATATTGATCATCTAAATACCACTACCTCATGTCTTCCACCGTCTGCTGTATTATTCTCTACTGGATTAATAAAGGCTGGCGAAACATATCCGCAGTAAAGTTTTCCAAGTGCTGCACAAGTGTCTTAAACATCTACTTTCTTTAAACTTGCTTTTGCCTTTCAGTGAGCACTTGCAACTTCAATAAAGTCAATTCAACTAAAACACACTTTCAGTCAATTATATAAAATCATGCGCTTGCCGATTACCAGGATTTCTTTGAAAACTCTCATCTCCAAGCTCAATCTTCTATCATCATCCTAGGCATTACGATCACTTTTGATATGTTCTGGAAGCCTCACATTCTTAAAATTGAAAAAATTATCTCTAGAAAGTTGGGAATTTGGCACAAGTTTTGATCTTTCATCTTTTCTTATTTCATCTCTAGAAAAAGCTCGTTTTCCTTTGCCTAGAGTATTTATCATATTTCTAGATAAGCACTTCGCAAAATGAGCTCAGTGCAATTGAGATGCATGCTACTGATACTTTTAATGCATTTTTAAGTTGTAAATACCTTTTTTTGTCAAGGATCTAGGAAGGTCTAGACTTCTCTTATTCTCTGGAATTACTGGGTTATAAATCCCTCTTGCTCTCCGGGAAATAACTGGCTGTAAAACCCTCTTGCTCTTACGTAACTAGCTAGTTGCAAACTCCCTTTTGATATCAGGAACTGCTTAATTGTAAATATGTCTTGCTCTCTAGAATTACCTAGTTATAAACCCTTCAAAATATCAGGAATTAGCTAACTGTAAAGCCTTCTTGCTCTCGAATCATAAAGGGTCATCATCTCTGTACTCACTTTTTAGATGGCAATCGATTCTCTTCTCGTTTTGTTGAGTGGCTAATGACTTCCGAGCGGGTAATTTTGCCTCTGATGTGGCCTACTCTTCCTTTGTTGTTGCCTATTTTGTCTTTATTGCCACTTTTTCTTTGTTTATCTTGAATTTTTTGCATTCCCTTCCTTTGTTGTGATCCATTGTATAAATAAATTACAGAGGAGGAGAAGGAAGAGGAGGAAATAGAATAGTGAAAGTATTTAGGAAAAAGATCAGAAAAGAAGGACGATTAAAATGAGAGGGAGGGAAATTAAAGTGGAGAATCAGAGTGAGGAGAGTGAAAGAGGAAAGGGATTACATGGGGAAGGTAAAGTTGAGGGCAAGAAGTGAGTCCTGTGACTAACTTGATACTTATCAACTAAGTGCTGGTCATAAAGTGTCATTTTAGTTGACACACGTTACCACATGACATTTCCGTAGAGCGATTCAAATGACTTCCCACGCTGTTTGTGGTATAAGAAGAGCATGCCAGTAATACAAACGATTGTTGAATAACATGACCCAAGTCTTTTTTTTTTCTCAGTTGAAAGCTGTCGCTAATGGCAGAGAGATGTGAACTGTGAGTGGAGAAAAGCAGAGCGGACCACTGACCAATGCATGTGTGTATGTTTCTGCGTGTTCGCAGGCCCTCCTGACCCACCAAAGAATTGCTCCATAGCCAACCAGACGAGCGAGGCGCTGGTGGTGGAGTGCTCACCCGGCTTCGATGGCGGCCTACCACAGCACTTCGTCATGGAGGCTTGGGACCATGATACTCTTCTCTCTAACACCTCCAGGTAAGTACGGTTCCATCACACACACACACACACATGAACACAAAGTGGAGGTAGAGTCCATACATAGCTTTAAGAAGAGGTATGATAAAACTCATGGTGCAGGGAGACAGTGGACCTAGTAGCGACAAGTGAAGAGGCGGGGCCAGGAGCTATGAATCGACCCCTGCAACCACAATTATGTGAGTACACACACACAGTTGCTCATTATCACTGCGACGAAATTCATTCACGAGAGGTGTACACGTGCACCATAGCAATGTTCTGTAATACAACTACTGTCAGTGGCAACGTAACAAGTGGAGAACATCGGAAAGAAAGGTCGACATACTAATATAAAATTATAAAAATATTGATACAAATACTGTGAAGAAAGCAAATATGTGTGTGTGTGTGTGTGTGTGTGTGTGTGTGTGTGTATGTGTGTGTGTGTGTGTGTGTGTGTGTGTGTGTGTGTGTGTGTGTGTGTGTGTGTGTGTGTGTGTGTGTATGTATGTATGTGTGTGTGTGTATGTGTGTGTGTTAAACTCAAGCACTTTTTTATACCAGAGAAAATACTCCAAGAAAACTAAACACAAACAACAAATAAATGCGACCGTGTGATAAAGCATAATAATATTGGTTCCAAACTTGCAACTTCCACCCAAGATATAAATCTCACACTGACGAACATAGTATTTAAGAAAGAATGTAAGCTTCCCAACAGCAGTGTTGTAGTATGAACACGCATGAAACAGTCATCCTTTGTATTATTCTCTTTATGATGACGAATTAAACACTTGTGCTACACTTGGGTATCTTTATTATGGAAACGTTTCGCCAACCACAATAAAGATACCTAACTCATCCTGTCTGTTCTTTGAACCATTTAACTATGCTCTCTTTATAAACCAATCGTTTGCGAGTCGAAAACAAAAATAAACCACGATCAATCTCGTTATTAAGCTCAGGATATCACACACTGGGTTTACAGCCATATAATTATGCATTAGACAAAATAAGAAATGACAGAACAGTTATTAGGGATAAAAGAGTGCAAAATAGTAGAGAGAAAGGCGTAGAATTTGTTGGGGAGGGGTATGACTGAGGTGTATAAATGGAAAACTTGGGTAAATAAAGGAGATAAATAACGTGCTAAAAATATCTAACCAAAATAGGACTCACAGCAATGGGTTGAAATTGGGAAAAATTAGATTTAGAAAAGATGTAGGAAAGGACTGGTGGATTATTATTATAATCAAGAGGGAAGTGCTAAACCCGTAGGATTATACAGCGCCTGTGGGAGGGGATGGAAGGTATTCAGGGTTAATTCAGGGAACTGGAGCACAGATCCAGTTCCCCAGATCAAGAGCCCCTCACCAGCATCAAGGCCTTCCTTGAGGGGAAGGACTGGTGGAACAAACTCCCGAGCAGTCACATGAGTGGGTGTGAGTGCGTGAGACAGACTTGCCTAGCATGAGCCAATAGGCTTGCTGCAGTACTCCTTCTGTCTTATATTTTTATGTTCTTTAGATGTAAGAAAGGCTAAGAATAAAGAAAGTCACAATTGTGTGTCTGAAACAATTTCCTAAGTCACATCTAGCAGAATACATCCTTAGATGCCTTTCGGACAATCTTGGATCATTATTAATGCTATTTTTCTTGCTGTTTTTCTCATAGTCGTAATTTGATAATGGGGTAGGAGGAACCGAAACTCTTCCCAAAGATTTCTCTCCACTTTACGAGTTAGATGTAAAATGAAGAAGGTAGGTTACAAGTTCCCAAACAACGGTCAACTAGTGTAGGGTTTAGAGAGGTTGCAAGCATTTTTGAGTATAAACTATGTTTAAATCAAGTAAAATAATACTTGATACATAGTATCAAGTATTATAAATTATGTATTAAGTAATATAAAACTGGAGAAAATTATCTTCACTGTCATGAGATGAAACCCTTCAAGGCTGGTGCCTTGGTGCTAGTGAAGGATCCTTAACAATAGGAATTGAAATAATCATCCATTTCTTTGGCTGCCTTTATGATCCTTTTGGATTAACAATTCACTGTGATTAATAATAATAATAATAATAATAATAATAATAATAATAATAATAATAATAATAATAATAATAATAATAATGAGCGCAAACACAATGCAAACTTTCAAGAAAACGCCTGTAAAAATATTTTTTGAATAACGATCTTAAATACAATATATGAGGTCACCTGGCGCAAACAATAGTCTTGTTTTCTTAGCATGTTACCCCTACACAGAATAGAAGATATTACCCCTGAAAAGAATAGAAGATATTACCCCTACACAGAATAGAAGATATTACCCCTACACAGAATAGAAGATATTACCCCTACACAGAATAGAAGATATTACCCCTACACAGAATATAAGGTATTCTATTATCTGTGTTTTTATGCCCTGTAAAATTTCCTTTTTTATTCCTCATTTTCGTCTCCTCTCTGAAAGTTAACATTAATATTAACATGTGCGGACGAGCGCGTTTTGTGTGTAGGTGTCCGTATTTTTATGTGAGCAAGTGTGCTGTTACTATTCCGAATACGTATATATAAATGTAAGTAAAGTCATTTTGAACATTATGTAGCAAATTGAACTCTTAAATTCGCTGATTAAATTATAAATACTTTTCAGAACATGGCATTATATTCAATCAGACAACACGGTATTAAATATATTAATTTACATAATAATTAAAGAGAACTGTGAAGAACAGAGTTTCGAACATTTTTCACCTAACAAAACATTCCATTACCAGCAGCCCGGATGCTGCGATCATTGTGTGATATTAGAGTTGGCAGCAGCAGCAGCTGGTACACTGGACACAGCTGGACATCCTAGCAGCAGCTGGTGATAGTGACCTTCTGTCAAGCAGCCAATCTCTCTCTGCCCCTCCCGTCTCGTATCCATCCTTATTGTTTTGTCGTCTATATTATCAAATAAATAAAAAATTGAACATATGAAAAATACAACAAATAAGAGTACTTTAGCTTATTTATGCGCTCAGATCTATACTAGCACTTCCTACTCTTTTTTACATCGATTATGTAAATACATTAGGGTTACGTGTGTCATGTGAGTAGCAGGCAAAGAATCGATCCTCCATCAACACTTATACTGAATGTTCCGTATGGATTTAACGATTCACCTGAAGCATAAGATTACTATTGCTAACGAGCCAACAAAATTTTCGTTATTCATCTGATATTTTATTAGTTAACCAAAAAAAATTATGCCTACCAGCAGTTAACTACTGAAGAACTTCGATAACTTCGATAACATCGCAGTTGTCACTATACGTTAACAGATTTCAACCATCTACATATTGCGAGGTTAACTAGGTTTGTACAAGGTCCCAAAACTCTGCTACTAGACCCCACTGATCTAATTTTCATACATTCCTTTTAGGCACTTCTGCAATATTTGGAAACTTAGAGGAAACGTTTCGCCAACCAGTGGGTTCTTCAGTCCAACACAGTGAATAACAGAGTAATACGAAGAGGAGTTTGAGGTAGTCAGTCCCTCAGCATGGAGCCGATGTGTTCGGTTTATCCGTCTTGATAAACTGAACACATCGGCTCCAGGCTGAGGGACTGATTATCTCAAACTTCTCATCTTCTGTTATTCTCTGTGTTGGACTGAAGAACCCACTGGTTGGCGATAAGTTTCCTCATTAAAGATACCCAAAAGCTGCACAAGTATCTCATTCTTCATCTTATCGGTTTTCAAAGCCATTTTCATTACATTCCGTCTAGGACTAGCATAGCACAGTGATCAATACACTCATGGTTATAAACGTAGTCCAGTCAATTACGTCTGCCTGTCTGCATACACATTCATCTTTAGTCTACACATATGGCCCAGGCAACCACACCTGCTGCCCGAGGACCTCAGAAATCTATCTTGGGTGTTCCCTCTCGCAATACTAAAGCTGCTGCTCCACGGATATTCTGGGCTCAGCATGCAGGGGCACTGCTATCATTCTGCTTCAAAACGACCTAATAAAATCCCAGACTCGCATAATTTATCACACAGAAATGATTCCTTGTTTATGGATAACTATCGTCTCTGATATCCAGTAATTTGTACATTCTTACCGAATGTTATTTCCAGATACCGAATCTGGGTACTCTGCATCATCTGCAGCATCCCTGATGATGACGCTGCTGCTATACGCCTGTGAAGGGATTTTTCACCAAAATAATTCGAGTTACCCTCCGTTTCCTCGGATCGGACATGATTAATTTCTATGCCTCAGGCACTGTATGACGCGTACTGATTTTAACGTTTCTCTTCGATGATAATAAAACACAATACTAATACTAAAAATAATAATGACAAATATAAACTAATTATAATATTGTAAAGATGCAGGACAATTTTAAAGAATTAATATATATTTTTCAATTGAATATTACGTGCATAGTGAAGCGATAAACCAATAATGTCAAAGAACACTTGATGAATGGAAGAGGTGAGGGATAATCAGGTTGATCCAAGGAGACGGGAGCGCTATCCTTTAAATGGAGAGCCCTTCTCGAGCACTAAGGCACCTTTCCACCTTTCCTCTTGAAGGGTGAAATAAAGTAAAGCCGGACTCGCGGGACAAGTGTCCATGAGCAGAGCTGACTAACACTTTGTAAAATTCCCTCAGCACTCAGCAAAGTCTCTACCGGAATGAGCGACCTGAGGGGACTCGATATGGTCACTGCAAGTAGTATTACGCCCAAAAGTGTTAGCGACATTGCTTTATGCTCGTTTCGGTGTACTCTTCTCTTGACTCGCGGCGAAATATCCTTCACTTTTATCTTGGCGCTCGGCGTTCAAAAAAAAAAAAAAAAGAGGATTGAAGATTTATATCAATTTGTGTTCTTTATTCAAGTTGACGACGATGTTTACCGTAAGTTTCTCACTTTTAATAGTTGATTGCACAAATAGCCTGCACATAGGAGAGGGGAGCTTACGACGACGTTTCGGTCTCTCCTGTGTGCGGTTATTTGTGTATTGTTCCAGATACGGTATTGTGCCTTTTTGTTCTTTAATAATCGAGTCTTTGTACTTGTTAAATACCAGTCGTTGGTGAAACGTTGTGACGCTATAGACTTCACTGCACTGTCAAATTTCCGAATATATAAATTTCAAAACATGGTCTGAATAAATTGCAAATAATTTCGAGCCGCAATATCTCCACCCATCCTTCGTTACTTACCGAAGATACAAAACAGCTGAATGACATCCAATCATTTCTCCTTGTGGAAAGCTGTGCACAGAGCGAAACTGTGTTCCATTAAAACCTTGCTGTGTACTGTATCGACTCAGCTATTATTAATCGAATTGACGGGGATCTTAGTTTAAAAAAAAAATTAATCTTGTGTACAACTTTGTGCATTTTCTAATATATTTACTTTTATCAATGCTTCTACTTATCTACCTCTTCCCTCTACTCAGCAACAAACAACTGTTATTAGAGACTTTTCATCAGTTGTTTCCAAAAGAATTAAAGACAATTTGTAGAACAATTATTATTACTATTATTAATGTCATGCAGCGTTTATGGTAGAAGCAATCGGATGCGATCCAAGGAATGGGAGACCAAGTCCTTTTCATTTAAGAATCCCTCATATGCACCATAGCACCACTTGAAGGAGATGCAGAAACCTTTATTCGAACGTTTCGCTCTGAGTAGAATTTTTTTTATCACATGGGAGTGAGATGTTAGCCTAGCGATAGCTTGTTCTGCAACGGGTGTCTTTTCATCACTATTATCGGCAGCCCGCCATTTGGATCCGGCGCATCCAAAAGACACAGGGAAACCAGTGCTCGAAATGGTCTCTGAAATCTTTATCACAGTTCCGTTCGAAAGGTGAAAAAAATGGTGGAAATGGGCCTGCCAACCTGCGAATCACTTGAGCGTTGAGAAAAACAAGCTGAGGGGCATGACCGTATCGAGGAAATCTGTGAAGTTGACTCGAAAACGAATTTCTAATTTGCACACACGCCTTCATAATGAGAAAGAGAGAGAGAGAGAGAGAGAGAGAGAGGCAGGGAGGGAGAGAGAGAAAGAGAGAGAAAGAGGAGAGAGAGAGGAGAGAGAGAGAGAGATGAGAGAGAGAGAGAGAGAGAGAGAGAGAGAGAGAGAGAGAGAGAGAGAGAGAGAGAGAGATAGAGAGAGAGAGATAGATAGATAGATAGATAGAGAGAGAGAGAGAGAGAGAGAGAGAGAGAGAGAGAGAATGCAAAGGTATTTTAAGAAGCCTAACCCTTACATTTAGATATAAAAAGAAATTATTCCCTTGCCCTCGTAATAATACCATGAACTTTCACTGCTTTCACTCTCATTTTCTGTGCTCTGACTACCGTTTCCAGTGCTTTACCATAGTGTTCACGGCTTTCACGCTTTTACCTGTTTTCAGCATCGTCTTTACTCCTCTCACCGTCTTCACTGTTCACACCACCCCTGCCATCACCACAATTGCTTTCACAGCTACTGCATTCATCACCACCTTCTCTGCTTTTGACACTAATGCTTTCCAATAAACCCTGCTTAAATGTACGAGATCTTACTCATTTTCTCTAAACGAGATATATGTATAGATGTATATTTGTGTCAAGCTAATCGTTGTGCATCTCTCAGCGCAAAGGACTGGTAGAGGCTGGAAACTCAGTGAATCGCAACAGAATATGCTACCAATTTGTAAAGGCTGAATCTTTTCTTTCCTGGCAGTGCTGGGGCTACGAGGTCACATCCAACGGGACTAAGAACGTTATGTTTTCTACACACTTCAAGGTGCCCTAGTTTACAGTACTGATAATTTTGTCAAAGGATGTTTTGACGTTCTCTACCCCATAACCTGTCGCTGACTTCACGGTGTTGACAATGTTGCCTGACAACTTTCTGATTTGTGTAAAGTAAAAGGGCACAAGTGCAACTAATGTGACATTTTACTGTGGCAACGTTTCGCTCTCCAATAAAATGTCACATTAGTTGCACTTGTGTCCTTTTACTTTACATATTGTCGGTAATTCTACCAACTTTATTACAACTTTCTGATTGTTACCCAAAAGCCTCGTGCCTTAGTTTATAGTGCCTGAAATGCTTCCTGACAACTCTCTCACTTTTTTTCGCAAAGAACCTAATGCCTAAGCTTACTATACTGTTAGTGATGTCTGATAACACGCTGACGATCTCTCTCCCGCAGCCTGGCGCCGGAGTTTGTGGTGCGTGGGCTGGAGGCTGGTATGGGCGTCACGTTGAAGGTACGAGCTACTAATGCACGCGGCCAGAGCGCCTCCGTCAACTTAGAGGCTGATATCATGAAGGTCGCAGAAAAAAGAATGGGTGAGTAGCCTTGATCCTAAGTTTGTTGATGCGAGTTTATACTCAACGATTTGTGTACGTGTGTGCATTGAGTGATTTGTATAGATGTTGGTTACTTACACTTTGTCTACGTATACACAACGATGTGTGTGTGTGTGTGTGTGTACTCATCTATTTGTAGTTGCAGGGGTCGACACAGTGTGTGTGTGTGCGTGTGTGTGTGTGTGTGTGTGTGTGTGTGTGTGTGTGTGTGTGTGTGTGTGTGTGTGTGTGTGTGTGTGTGTGTGTGTGTGTGTTTATACTCACGTATTTGTACTCACCTATTTGTGGTTGCAGGGGTCGAGTCATAGCTCCTGTGTGTGTGTGTGTGTGTGTGTGTGTGTGTGTTTTGCGCCTACGTGCGTGCGTGCGTGCGTCCGTGCGTTTTAGTAATGCGGGGTGAAGTTGTCAAATGTACAGTGGTATGCGAGGTTTAAGCTCTTCAAGATCAATAATCCTAGAGGTAACTCCAAACCATCTTTAAAAGTCATTACTTTACCTCCATTCATAGGAATTTCAATGTTTGCCACAGCAAAGCTGTTTTTCCTGCGAAACGTGTCACATCTCGTAAATTCCAGGCAGTTCATTATATTCCAGGCCGTTTATTACATTACAAGCAGTACATTTTCACGGTAGTTCATTATATTCGAGGCAGTTCATTACGTCCCAGTTCACTGCATTCGAGGCAGTTCTTTATACTGTAGACTGCTCATAATATTCCACAGTGTTCATTACATTCCACTTCCCTACATTCCGGTCAGTGCATTATATTCCAGGCATTTCAGTATATTCCAGACGGTTCACTAAATTCCAATCCGTTCATATTCCAGTTTATCATCCAAACAATTCGTTATGTTTCATAGTTCAAAATATTCCAGATAGTTCATTATATTCCAAGCGTTATATAATTGTCCAGAACCTTCATTATATTCGACAGTTCACTATATTGCAGAGAGTTCACTATATTCCAGAAAGCTCATTATATTCGGTAGTTCACTGTATTACAGAGAGTTGACTATCTACTAGAGAGTTGTCTATCTTCCAGAATGTTGACTATCTTCCAGAGAGTTGACTATCTTCCAGAGAGTTGACTGTCTCCCAGAGATTTGGCTATCTTCCAGAGAGTTGACTATCTTCCAGAGAGTTCGCTATCTTCCAGAGAGTTGACTGCCTTCCAGAGATTTGGCTATCTTCCAGAGAGTTGACTATCTTCCAGAGAGTTCGCTATCTTCCAGAGAGTTGACTGCCTTCCAGAGATTTGACTATCTTCCAGAGAGTTGACTATCTTCCAGGGAGTTGACTATCTTCCAGAGAGATGACTATCTTCCAGAGAGTTGACTATCTTCCAGAGAGTTCATAATATTCCAGAGAATTC